ATTGTACATATTAAATTTTTTTAAATATAGAAATATATTTGATATAATTTCTATATCTAGGGGTTATTCCTGATAATTTAAGACACGAAGAAACAATTGTTCAAATATCAGAAGCTCTGGATGAATTAAATTCTGCAGTTTCTTACATATTTGATTGCATTGACAAGAGACTTTATGAAAATAGTAAAAGGTAATTATAATTTTCCTTTTTATTAAATATTATTTTATTATAATTTCAAAGACACAAACTTTTTTCAACAGATTATTAAGTGTTAGAAATAGGGCTACAAAACTTGAAGATCAACTAAAATATTTGCAAACAAATTTAAATTTAAAAGCTGTGAAAATGTATTCTGCTGCGAAATATCCAGCTAATCATACATATAAAGAATATGAGATGGCAATACCATCTAAGTATAAAGATACGCATGAAATACCAAAAGCTTACAAATGTTCTGTATCTATAAAAGAAGTGCCTGAAACATACTTGCCTTCTAACTGTAAAACAGAGGATGGCCAGTATGTGGGAAATAATAACTTACAAGAGAAGTTACGATTTTATCACGTACGCTCCAGGATGAACAAAGAAGTTTACATAGACAATAATGAATTATCATTTCCTCTCCACCTATTTTCAATTAGCGCTCTGCTATTTGATAGTATGGATAACCCTTATAACATATCCACTAAACAGACTGGTCATAGAGTAAGTGAAAAGCAAAAAATTGAAGATGCACCTGATTCAATTATACAACCATGGTTAATGTCAGAAATGGATTCATCTAGTAGTTATCTCTATACTCCAACTTTAGGCGAGGTAAAATGTTGAATATTTAATCACTACATATGAAAATTTAATAGACCGTATTATTATTAAATGAAGTATGTTTTTTGTAGGTGCCTCAGATAAATGTACCACCAATACTTCCAGATTTACCTGGTATTGTCGATGATGAAAAATTCATTTTAGACCTTAATTCTCAAAGTCCCATTGCACCATCTTCAGCAGTAACGACACCTACTGTCCGACTAGATCTTCCAACTCCAACTGTTGATGAAAAAGATTCGAATGCAAAGCATGAACAAAATGTTCCAAATTTACCAAGTTTTGCAAATACCAGTTCTTCTAAAGATTCTACTGAAGATACAACAGTATATCCACCACCTCCTCCTTCGCCATTTACCACATCTGATGCCTCTAGCTCAGTTTCTATAAATTCGGAAAATATTCATAAATCACCCATGCCATCAATGGCACCTCCATCACCACCACCACCACCACCACCACCACCGCCTCCACCGCCTCCACCACCACCACCACCTGCATCAGGAACTGATGCTACAGACTTTGAAACAAATTCTGTGAAGAAGAAAATCAATGAGGACAAAAATAAATCAACGAACTTAGACGACCGTTCAAACTTAATGGCTGCAATTCGAAATGCAGGTGGTATAGGAAGAGCAAAGTTGAGACATACAGGACCACCAGAAGAAAAAGGAAATCGGTGGTCTTCTGCGTCTGTTGGAGGAGATTTAATGGCTGATTTACACGCGAAGCTAGCCCTTAGAAGAAAAGGAATTGCAGGGTCAGGAGGTAGCGCTTTGGAGAGAATGTTGATCTCAATTCCTCCTCCTCCAAAACCAAATGAAGCAACTACGTCGGATAGAAACTCTGCTACTAGTGAATATGATTCTCAGCCGGATACTGATGATTGGGATGAGTAATGTTTAACGTTATTGATTATGTATATTTTAGTTTCATTCACGTATGAATTCTTTCATAACAAATTAATTATTTGGGATATTTGATATAAAAGTTGAAGGATCTAATTTAAAAGAAACAAATCTGTAAAGTAAATCTAACAGTATTTTTAAGTTCACATTAAACTGTGCAATAAATAAAAATGTATTTAATATTTGTTTTCTATAACGATATTTTATAAAATATTCATACTTTTTATATTTCTGTTGATTAGTCTTATAATAGTCTCAAAGTTGAATAAATTATAAACAAATGTTAAATATTCTCAAATGTGGTATTCAATGTAAAAATCAATTTAAAGATTAATCGTAACTGGCCAATCATTGATATTGTCATCAACTTGCGACAATATAATTATGATGGAAACATGTTGATGAAATTATCAGTTTGGATTTAACACTTGACCCCAGATTACTGGGCCAAGTGTCCATGTTCGCTTGTCAATCTTAGTTGGATCGTGAAATTCGTAGTTTTTGCTCGGTCAATAGCTGATGCTGTTTAAAAACAAATTTATAGTTTAAAATTTATCATTATCGTTGAACTGTTACTCAAGCTTGATAAATAATTACGTATTCTATGCTTTGGTGCAAATAACTTTTCTATCTGTCTAAACGAGCGATATTTTCGACAGTGGAACATTACAATAAACCTATTGCAACGTCCATTGTATACTTTATCCTAATTTTATCACTCACAATCGTTAGCACACATCTTCGGGAATGTGTAGTTTGCGAAAATCTGCGTAAATATCATGTACTTATATAAAAAATTAATTGCAAACAGAATTAATAAAGAAAAACTAAAAGAGATGGAAGGTGAATTTTGTTGTATTCTCACAGTGATCAAAGTACAAATTAAGAAAGCACTATTTTGAGACAGTTAGTAAATCTAGCCATCTTATATATTTTAACCGATAATAATTTACCTTAATTACATCATTTTTTACAGAGGAAATGAGCACTATGGCTTCAAATACAAATTAACTTAGACAACTGTAGTACAAATCAATTTCTTTCTATAACAAAGATTTTATAATTGTGAAACACACTATGGGAAGCCAAATAAAAATTTCTCCTACAACAGAATTATCCAATTCAAGAACCAATGGTTCAAACAATGTAGAACTTCCAATTGATATGCGCTTTAATGAGGGTCACGTTGTTAGTATCATTGTTTATAGTGTACTAATGATTGTATCTGCTATGGGAAATACAACAGTGTTAGTTCTAATTACGCGTAGAAAGCGCACATCTAAATCAAGAATACATACAATGCTGATGCATCTTGCAATTGCAGATCTACTTGTAAGTATCATCAAGTGTGGCTTCATGGTGGGTAGTATGAGTTCTATCAAATATAGAAAAGTATATTTTGTATTTGCAATATAATACTCAATATTTTCATAATTATCATAGTAACAGATTAATTTTAAAAAAATTTACAAGAAGTAAATAATACTTTTTCGTTAATAGCAAAAGATGATATGTAACATTATGACTCAACTAAAAATTTCGGTTTAACTAGCATGGGATTTTCTGTCTCTATTTGTTGAACAATAAATAAAGTGGATTAACTTGTTTGATCTAAATTAGTAATCACTTTATTCCATTTGTCTGACTACTGATAATTCTATTTCAGTTCTTTTTAGTCATCTTATTATATTTGTTCAGCTAGAGGCAATTATTTTTTGTGTATATCAGATTTCAATGAACTTTTAATGCAGGAAACAGTTTCCAGGTTACTTTCTTAATGATGCCTCTTGAAATTGGCTGGGCAGTTACAGTGTCTTGGGAAGCAGGAGATGCAATGTGTCGAATAATGGCCTTCTTCAGAATGTTTGGTCTATACCTATCATCTTTCATTCTAGTTTGCATAAGTATAGACAGGTCAATACAGCATTTGATTGTAGCTCGTTTATTCTTTTGTTCAATATATGTGAAAATAAACTACTAAATCTTGTAGATATTATGCTGTCATGCGACCTCTCCAATTGTGGGATGTTGACAAGAGAGGAAAAATTATGCTATGCTTTGCATGGGTAGGATCAATTGTATGCTCAATGCCACAGGTGCAGTAATTATAAACATCTGTTTCATAATTTAAATAGTAGCAACTAATAGTTCCTACCATGTATGATGTTCGTAATTCTAATTCATAATACTTTTCAGTTAAAAATAATACACATATAATACTTTTAGATGGTAGTATTTCATTTGGAAATCCATCCAAATATCTCTTGGTATTCGCAGTGTGTCACATTTAACACTTTTCCTACATACACTCACGAAATCACATATTCTCTTTTTGGTATGATCATGATGTATTGGTTTCCTCTTGTCGTGATAATATATACATATACAAACATTTTGTTGGAAATTTGTAGAAGATCAAGAAAAAGTGAACGCGGTATGTTTAAGTTGCTTTTACGCCTTGATCAGCAACAGGAATATATGAATCAATTTGATTTACTTATACCATTTTGATTGGTTTCAGATAAGATTCGTCGTTCTTCAATGGGTTTTCTAACACGAGCAAAAATAAGAACTCTCAAAATGACGGTAATCATTGTTGCTGTCTTTTTTGTTTGTTGGACACCCTATTACGTTATGAGCCTTTGGTAATTACAATTTATTGATACTCTTAGATGTTCTGAATATGTATATATATATATATATATATACATATTCAGAACATCTAAGAGTATCAATAAATTGTAATTACCAAAGGCTCATAACGTAATAGCTGTCTCTTATACACATCTAGATGTGTATAAGAGACAGCTATTACGTTATGAGCCTTTGGTAATTACAATTTATTGATACTCTTAGATGTTCTGAATATGTATATATATATATATATATATACATATTCAGAACATCTAAGAGTATCAATAAATTGTAATTACCAAAGGCTCATAACGTAATAGCTGTCTCTTATACACATCTAGATGTGTATAAGAGACAGCTATTACGTTATGAGCCTTTGGTAATTACAATTTATTGATACTCTTAGATGTTCTGAATATGTATATATATATATATATATATACATATTCAGAACATCTAAGAGTATCAATAAATTGTAATTACCAAAGGCTCATAACGTAATAGCTGTCTCTTATACACATCTAGATGTGTATAAGAGACAGCTATTACGTTATGAGCCTTTGGTAATTACAATTTATTGATACTCTTAGATGTTCTGAATATGTATATATATATATATATATATACATATTCAGAACATCTAAGAGTATCAATAAATTGTAATTACCAAAGGCTCATAACGTAATAGCTGTCTCTTATACACATCTAGATGTGTATAAGAGACAGCTATTACGTTATGAGCCTTTGGTAATTACAATTTATTGATACTCTTAGATGTTCTGAATATGTATATATATATATATATATATACATATTCAGAACATCTAAGAGTATCAATAAATTGTAATTACCAAAGGCTCATAACGTAATAGCTGTCTCTTATACACATCTAGATGTGTATAAGAGACAGCTATTACGTTATGAGCCTTTGGTAATTACAATTTATTGATACTCTTAGATGTTCTGAATATGTATATATATATATATATATATACGTTAATATAAACACAATATGAATAACAGGTATTGGATTGATAGACAGTCAGCATACAAAGTTGACCAACGAATCCAAAAAGGTCTCTTTCTTTTTGCATGTACGAACTCTTGCATGAATCCTATTGTTTATGGTGTTTTTAACATAAGAGATCGCAATAAGGTAAATATCTTTTGTGCTTTGTTCAGTTCAACAAGTTAAATTGTTCTTAAATATGTAATTAGCTGATATTTCAGGCATCTGTACGACCAACCACCTTAGAAACTCGGATAACTCCATTATCTTTGTCACTGAAACTTCTCGACTAATGCAAGATTTTTTAGTGTAAACGTGAGAGTAATTAAAAAAGCATTGTAAATCATGTTTACTCAGTAAATCGATTCTTACGAAAACCAGATTTACAAATTACTACATTAAAGTATTAATAAAATTATTTTTATGAAACAAAATGTGTTAAAGGTTGGAAGATTCAAAACTTAAAAGAAAATGAAAATCATAAAATATATAATAAATAAAATGAAAATATATAATAAATAAAATGAAAATCATATTGATCACATAGTAACAAAAAGCTAACAGTTATGACAAATTATTATATTTGCTTCATTTTCTTAATACATTAATTTTGAGATACCATATGTTACGTATTGTACATTATAGTAAGTAACCGCCTGCCTGAAAGTATGCATTAAATAATTAAAAAAGATTATAAAACTATACTAGTAACATGCTCTTTTGATAAGATTCAGTCAAAATTGGAAGCTCACATTCTCACATTCTTTTGGTAATGTAAGTAAAATCCACTCGAAAAACGAGTTAGACGTGTACATGAAAATGAAACATTTTATACAGCGACAGTCTTTTTTTCTATTTTTAATGTAACATGATTAGATAACTTCAGTTCTTTAGTTTTGTAAATCAATTAATCCTTTCACAGTTTCATACGAAAAAATAAATCGTTTAGCAATTTTATTAAAATTGTATAGAGTCTATTGAAATTTCAGATATCGAGTTATAAGTCTTTATTTCCTCATTAAGCTTACGATCATTACGATTTTGTTTTATAGATCGATCATATGGAACATTTTTTTCGTCTATTGTGATTTTATTTATAAAAAATAATCACTTTCTTTACAACATGAATAGCGATTTAGAAAATAGTAGTAAACGGACTGTGAAAGGGTCGTAAAAAAAAGAAAGAATAATGACTAATATTCGGTAGTAAAAGATTAATAACGTTGTGTAACGATTATTTAGTATCAGCGGAAAACATGGAAAAAGATCTCTAGCATAAGATCTTAATTTAGTATAAAAAAATTTATCTTTTTTTCTTGGTGTATGAACATGAATATTATTTTGAACACTCTCATTTGTTAATACAGTTGTAAGTCTTAAATCGACATTATTAAAATTGTACAGCACCGGTATTTTGTCATCTATTGTTCATGACCATTATATATTAAAAATGTATTATATTACCTGACCTTGTTCAGTCAACCGAGCTCTTTTAATGAGGAAAAAGTCAAAAATAGAATGTCAGCTATAGAGTCTTATATGAAAAAAAAAATATTAACACATTGGTCAAGTTTCACTTGAACTGATTCAATTTGGTGCAAAGCACCTCATACAGAAACACCCCTAGTACTTACATTTCTTCACCATTGTGGATGAACTTCATTGAAAGACCACTGTTGATACGTATTATTGATGTCACATGGCATTAGAGATAGCTGTTGTGTTTGAGGATGAAGTGCCATGCATTTCTTGTGTAGTCTATGTAAAAGCGTTTTTGTTTTCTACAAAATTGTAGGAATTTAATTATTTCTCTCTCTCTTTTTCACTATAGAATATATAAAAATATTATGAGCACTTACTTCATCATACTGCCATGGGCCATGTACAGTTCCTAATCGGCAGAATACAAACTTTATTCCTTGCCCGTCTGCCGACACACATCGTTCTCCTATTCCTAATTGACCTTTTGTATTCAGTCTAACTAACTAAAAAATATCGTTATATCAATTATTGCTTATAGATAAAGTAACTCATTTAATGACTCATTTAGTTAATGTTACCTGATTATTACCAAATCCATGACAATGAGATGTAGCCATTAGACTGGGCGGTGAATGACCCATTGTGTCCAAACATGTATCAGTTGCTATGTTTTGTAACTAAAATTTTTGAACATGAAAATAATATACACATACCGATAAATTATACTTATGTATACTATAATAAATACTTATAGTTTAATCATACCTCTCCCCAGTAAAGATTAGGCGGTAATTCAGGAAATTTATCGAAAACATCATAAGCTACATTTTCCATGTACCATTGAAAACTTTTACATTTTTTTCGTTTTTTGAAAGCCAGTTGTTCAGATATATCTCCGTGGTCAAGCTGTTTTGCAAGGGGTTCTCTTGTATAAAAGAATTCTTTGTATTTATCATCAAACCAGGTCTCAATAACTCTTTTGTAGTTCTATAGGAAAATTTAAAGTAAATACTATCTACAATTTTGTTGTTATCTTAGTTGTATACAAAATATTATATTATTTACTATAGTTATGAGCGGTCCTTTTTTCTTCTGAGCCAATTTACCAAATGTGTATGGCATAAATCCTCTATACACATGACCGACATGTGAACAAGGAACCCAAAGAATGCTACCACCACATTGCCATATTTTAAATGACAATTCAAAGTTCTCTCCTCCCCAAATAAGTAATCCTTCATCATATGCCCCCAACGATAAGAAATATTTACGATTTATTGCGAATAAACCACCAGCATGAGTAGGAGACCTAAATTAAGTTTTACCTAATACATGCCAAATAATTCTGTACTAATTTTCTAAGAATATTTTGCAGATATAAATTACTTGTAAGGCATGCTGTTATAAGGTCGTGCTTTTTGTTCTCGCACAGGAAGCTCGTTTTCTTTGTAAAGCATTCCCCATTCAAAAATTCCTCTGTATAAATGTCCTTCTTGGTATACAGGTCGATATTCAAATGTTTTATGATCGACTCCATCAATTATAGGAACAGTCATCACAGTCCTAAAATCATTTAAAAAATAATGAAATCAGAATTCTCTCAATAATGTTACAAAATGTTGTACCTATCGACAGCAATTGGGGCTAACAGAGGTGGCAACCAGTTGACATTGACTTCACAGTGGGCATCCAAAAAAACTATAACTTCACCCTTAGCTTCCCGTGCACCTCGAGATCTGGTTCTTATTAAACCTAGCCTTTCATAATTTCTTATTAACTTTACTTTGCCATCCCACTGTTCTATATAAGATTCCAAATCACCTTTCAAATTATCTGTAACAGATTTATTTAGTATTATTGAAATTTTTCAGCTACTCATAAAAATATGTCTAATTACCTTTATCAGAAAAATCATCTACAAGCAGGATTTCTTCCAAAAATTGAGGAGGAGTACGATTTATTACACTATGGACAGTTCTCATTAATACTGACCAACCTTCATTATGAAATACTATTATTACACTAGCACGAGGAAGTACCTCTGGGTAATTCCAATATTTGCATCTGTTAATCAAATATACTATTCATATTTGTATTAAAAATATAGCATAAGAAATTTTAATATATTTTAAACTCTGGAAAGTCAAAGATACTAACAATAAAAACTTACTCTGGCATTCTTGTATCAGGAATTGCTCTGTCTAATGAAATTTCATTAGAACATATCATATTCATGCCATAGTCAGACTCTGATTGTTGAATATCATTCTGTTGATCATCTCTGAGGACATGAGGTTTTCCTCCTTCTCCAGGTCCATTCTTCACTTGTACATGTTTATCTTCGAAATTTCCAAGTTCTTTTGTTAAAACTGGAACCTATAATGTAATATTAATTATAATCCAGTTCTTCAAAATATAAGGAAGACACTAATTTTTAATTTACCTGTTTACTTTTCAAACTGTCCGACAAATATTCTTTAAAATTATTTATTGGTTTATCAGAATAATTACTGATAACAATGTATAATAATATAAGGACTAATATACCACCCATAACAAAACTAAACAGACGATTTCTCCTTAGCTGCACAATTCTCATTTTGATCAAGGTAATTGTACCTGAAAATTAATAGGTGTAATTATGTACAAAAAATTTATGTAAATGGACAACAGTAAACAAGTTCTCTTTCTGTTAGCAAAAAGGCAACTGCTCAAGAGTTAAAAACATTTGAATACAATTAAAAAATCATAAAAGAGTAACAGAAATTACTGCATGTATATAACATATTTTAAATATTATAATAAAAAATATATTTTTAATATATATATAATTAATATAAAAATGAAATTTCAATTGAAGTGTTGCAAACTACCAGGAGTAATACAAGTAAATATATTGCCATATTAATTACCTTAAGTAAAAATGCATAGAATGCACGACGAAAATTAAAATTTATAAAATAAATGTTGGAACGTACCAAAAGAGTACAAAAAACTATATTGCAATAAACTGAATCATTTCAAAAAATCTGAAGCTACGTTGCTTCAAGTAACAGCCAACGTGTCTTTTCTTTCGTAGATATGCGATTATCTGTGTGTACAGTATACACTGCAGAATCTTGTAATGTTTCGTGTCGTCGGCGAAAACGATTCGTCGCTAAAATAAGGTCCCTAGAAAATTTAAATTTCTAGGGATATGCATTTGGTAACGATATAAATTTGAGTTGTGGTTTCGTGATCCTTGCATGCGTGGTTCACAGACTTCTATTAGAATTTAGAAGTTTGTGGTACGTATTGTGCAGTACACAATGACGTGTAATAAATACATATCAACGCTGAATTAAGATATTCATTCTTCCTATTGACTGATAGGTAATTAAAGGCTTCTGCATTTTATTTTTCTAGAACTTATAATCCAAAATACGTCTTATATCAAATCTTCCAGATCCAATCCAAGGACCTGAAGTTCCTAATCTCACCACATGACGACTCCTGTAACTTGAGAATCTATAAGAACCGTACTCCCTAACCTTAACATATTAATAAACGATAGAAATATTTGTTATAACACATTCTTTTATCTGAAATTAATTTTTTAAATATTTTTCTCACACTTGAAGTATGATATAAATAAATTGTGTGAATGGTTTTTGTTGTTCGTAATCCGTATTTATGACTTGAATTGTTAAAAATAAGAGAAAATAATATTTATTAATTTGCCATGAGAATAAATAAAGTTATTTATCAAGTATGGTGTACTCAAAAGAATTATAGGTTTTTAGAAACGCATTCATCAAAATTTGATAGGTCTGTATTATTCATTGTATTCAACTGTATTATATTTGTTTATACTTGAATGAAATTCAACTGAAGATGTATTGAATTTTAGGAAATATCTACATCCCAGTAGAAAATGTTATTGTACCAAGTCGGAAGATACAAAGGAATGTGTAATTCCAGTAGAAAATATACGTAACTTTAGTATTATAGCACATGTTGACCATGGTAAAAGTACACTTGCTGATAGACTTTTAGAAATTACAGGAGCAATAAAAAAAAATTCTGGAAACCAAATATTAGATAAATTACAAGTTGAAAAAGATCGTGGAATTACTGTCAAGGCCCAAACAGCATCTCTAAATTATACATATAAGGAGACTAAGTATCTTCTTAATTTAATAGATACACCTGGTCATGTAGATTTTTCAGCTGAAGTGTATCGTTCTTTAGTTCCTTGTCAAGGAGTTATTTTAGTTGTTGATGCAAATGATGGAGTACAGGCACAAACAGTAGCTAATTACTATTTAGCTGCAAAACAAAAGCTGATTATAATACCAGTAATAAATAAAATAGATCTCAAAAATGCCAATCCTGACAGAGTAATACAACAGTTAAAAACGTTGTTTGATATGAAGGAAGAAAATATCTTAAAAATATCTGCCAAGCTTGGCACTGGAGTAAAAAATATTTTAGATGTCATTGTTGAAAGAATTCCACCACCTGATGTGTTTAGAGATAAGCCATTCAGAGCATTAATATTTGATAGTTGGTATGATAAATATAAAGGAGCTATTTCTTTGATATATGTTAAAGAAGGGTCATTGTCGATAGGAGATCATATAACTTCAATACATAATAAAAAGTCTTATGAACTTAAAAATCTATCGCTGTTACGACCCGATGAAGAACCAGTAAAAAGATTGTAAATGTCAATTTGTACTTTCTATGATTTTATTAATATTGATTAGATAATTAAGTATTCAATTCTATGTGATTAGAGTTGCAGGTCAAATAGGATGCATTGCATGTAACATGAGATCTTCCAAAGAAGCATTTATTGGTGACACATTACACATAAAAAATCAGCCTGTAGATACCCTTCTGCAATTCAAAACACCAAAACCAATGGTTTTTTCAGGAGTATATCCTCTTGATCAATCACAATTTGATGCAATGAAAACTGCTGTTGAAAAATTAACTCTAAATGACAGTGGTGTGTCTGTTACTATAGACCATAGGTATATTATATCCATATATATGTTTTATTTCTATCTCAATTTAATAAGTTAATCATTCATGTATGAAAGAAGTAAGATAACATATACATTTATATTAGTGTAGCACTTGGACAAGGCTGGAGAATTGGATTTTTAGGTATATTACATATGGAAGTTTTTATGCAGCGTATGGAACAAGAACATGGTGTTGAACCAATCGTCACCATACCTAATGTAACGTATAAAGCAAAAATAAGTGGAGCTAAAAACATTAAAAAGTATGGTAGCGATGAAATTACATTCAATAATCCAGCACATTTTCCTAACCCACAAATAGTAACTGAATTGTTTGAACCTATTATTTTAGGCACCATTATTACACCAGGTATACTTAATAGTTGTATATTAATTAATGTATGTTTACTTACTTATTAAACAAATAAAAGAATTTCTTAATTATGTAAATAGAGACATACTTAGGTGAAGTATTATCTTTATGTCTTGAAAAACGAGGGGTAGAACAACTAACGAAAGATATTGGAAATAATAGAATAATGTTACAATATTTAATGCCATTAAATGAAGTTATTGTCGATTTTCATGATTTATTAAAAAGTGCAACCTCTGGATATGCTAGTTTTGATTATGAAGAATATGGATATGAATCTTCAAAAATAATTAAGGTATTTATAATTATTCTCTTTTTATTTAACAATTAACTTTTCTAATATATTATAAATCTAAATGTTGCAGTTGAATATAGCTTTAAATGGAATTATAGTGGAAGAATTAAGCACTATCGTGCATGCCAATAAAGCTGTTACAGTAGGTAAACACCTATGCGAAAAATTAGTAAATATAATTCCACGGCAGATGTTTGAAATTTCCATTCAAGCCATGCTAAATGGACGTGTTCTTGCAAGGGAAAATGTGAAAGCATACAGAAAAGATGTGACTGCGAAATTAGTAAGAATTCGTTTGTTATATCATATTTGTACTTATGTTCCTGATTCTATCATTTATTGTCATTTTTAGTATGGTGGTGATGTCACTAGACGAAAAAAATTATTAGCAAGACAAGTAGTGGGAAAGAAGAAGATGCGAATGATTGGAAAAATTCCTATTCCACGAGATACATTCATAAAAGTTCTTAAAAGATAATAAATCTTGAGGATAATTAAATTGTGCGAAGATGTATTAGTTTTTAAATTAAATTCAGCTGATAATATGCTAATCACAATGATTTGATATTTAAAAAATAAAACGGTTTAATAGAACTAAATTATTATTTATTTCAAAGTAAAAAATATGGTGTTTTTAAAGATTTATTCAGAAAATTAAATACTTCAATGCAATATGTACATACTTAATAACATCCATGTCTGTATAATTTATTTGACAATGTAGATTAATATAGAAATATATCATTGGTTCATAGAACTTGGTGAAGGATCAGACATTTGGTGTGAATTATTCGAGGACACTGTATTTACGGAATTGACATTTTCTTGTTTAAATGTCATAGTAGTGTTAAGATTAATATTTACTATAGATGTCGATGCTGGATCCTGCATATCTAATTGACTTTGAGCAATATCCTGTAGAGCAGCCTGAATTCTTTGTAAAAGAGCTTCTCCTTGTTTTACAACCTCTTCTAGCTGTTCACCAGCTTCTTGATTTTCCTGTTCAAGACGACTGAGACTTGCAACCTGCAATTCTTGTGATGATTCTTCGCTTGGTAAACTTTCTATCAAAGTATCAATATCTTTTGCACATCTTGCTATTAAAGTAGCAAATAGAGCTGCATAATCTAAAATGGAAAGTTATTTATGCAAAAGTTACAAAGTTGACATTTTTTATTTAATTAGTAAGTGATAAAAATACCTTCTTGAGGTTGATGAGGTTGTGGTGTTCCCACACGATCAAATCCAGGAAATTTACTAGGTGTAGAATATTGTTGCAAAATACCTACACTGTTACAAAAATGTTCTGCTTGCTAAAATAATGTATGTAATTAATAATTATACTTTTGTCATTACACATAAAGCAGAAATAAGAAATTATATTATTACTTGGTTTATGGTGTCTTGCAACTGTGTTAAACGGTCTGCCATATTTTTATGATATAACCTAAAACAGTATAAGTACACAATTACATTTTCAATTAAATTTGTAATATGGATTATTTTTCATGTAACATAACTATTAACTGCTATTACAATTCTATACTTGCAGCGTAACAAACAAGTTATATTAAATAAATTACTCTTTCAAGTTGCCTTGGAAGTACACACTTGTTAAATGTTAGAATATATTTCGTTGTATGTACATTTACGTTTTAATTACATAGTTAAATAACTGTTACATTACTCTTTCAAAAATAGTTTTCATTAAATATTTGTGAATGTTGAACTGACACAAACCAACAATGACGTCGTAATCACTAATGTTGATACATATAAATGATACAAATTGAGGGATTGCAGTGGTTCATACCACACTTCACAGTGGTTCAGTGGTTGCATTTGCCTATGCTTCTTATGTACAATATGTGTGTGTCATCTATAATTGATATATGCCGTAGTGCCTCACCATAGTTAGCCAAGGCGGGGGCAACCAATTAGAATTATGAAGCAGGTAGAGAAACTGCTTCTTCTCTGATTGGTTGACGCTTCACAGCTACGATGCTGCCCACACAGTTCTAGACAAAGAGAGAAAGTGGCGAGTGAGCAAGAGAGCACGACATCAACACAAATCGAAACAAGTCAACCAACGACGACCAATGTAGCTTGTCTCACTTTACCATGCTTGCGGTCTCATTCTTTTCGTACATTCATATGCCTGGCGCTCCATTTGAAACATTCGGTGCGATATTCGCTCCTTAGGATTCTCGACCACACAATTGGCGCATTTGCGAACGGCTTCAAACGACGATCATTTCTACAATTATTAAAATTCTCAAAAACCCGTAAGCTACATTTTAGCCAATGGTTTCTGCTTTACGAATCTACAAAATTTGTTAACTGGGATAGTCAGCAATCAATATTCTACTGTACGGGGAGTTTCAAAAGCAACGAATAATTTCGCAATTTTATACGATCTTTGCTATTACAAATTTGAAAAATAAAGCTGAAACTTGCATTCATATTCTCTTAGAAAGATTACATATTTAATATAGTAAATATCTACAAAAAAATTCTCAAACTCAGAGTTTTAGAAAATTAGAGTTAAGAATTATTGAGAATTGGAACAATTTGCGATCATTTTTACAATTATTAAAATTTTGGAAAACCCGTAAGTTACATTCGTAGCTAATGGTTTCTAGTTATGAATTTATAGAATTTGTTAAATTCAGCCATCCCGGTCAACAATCAATATTATACTCTACAAGAAGGAGTTTTGTAAACAATGAATCATATCGTAATTATGCAAGCTATGAACGAAACGAGGAGTATAAGAAAATGTTGTTTGTGGGTTTGGATCATATAGAAAATGGTATTTTATTATCGCATCGACATTATCGCTTCTGGAGTGAATAAGGAGTATAATATAGTTAATAAGGAGGTTGTTGTTGGTTATGTCATCCTGCGCAGAACTTTACTGAGCACTTCTTGACCAGTGCCTCGGCTACCTTGCACCTTTGCGATGACGACGGAGTAACTCGGCCGAGGAGGCCCCTACCACCACCCCCACCTTGCGCACTTCGTGGCCCAAGATTTAGCGTTCTGAACCGCCTGGCCTGTTTCAAATAAACCCCTGAACCCCTTATTTCAAATAAATATTTCACTAATATAATTGCCTGAACGAATTCTTGTCTGTCAAATATTTTATTCGGATAATGATATTATTCGTTATCCCAACAAATTATTCCATCTACTTATTCAAACAATTTGTTTCCTCTATTTATTCGATCAAACTATTCCATCTATTTATTCGAACAAGCTATTTTATCTATTTATCTGAACAAACTATTCCATTTATTTATTCGGACATTGTACAATTATTCGAATCATAAAGCGGATATGTAATAATTGTTTTTGTTTTTACATAGTTTTATGGAGATATATTTATACAAAGACATTGAAGATGAGTTCAATTAGCATACAGTGATCGAAATAATTTTCTTCGTGGAATAAACATGCATCTAATAAGCAGTTTCTCAATTTGTATGCTATGAAATAATGGTTCCGGGGAAGAAAGTGTATCAGACCCGCAATGTAACAGAGAAGAAATTTTTGGACGTGAAAATTCTATCATTCCTGAGTGCGTGCCACATGCAGCCGAATCTCAAGGACAGGTCGTAAAAGTGAAAGGGTCTAATCTCAGTTCTTATTCATGTGTTTTTTTGAAATTTTTAACGTTGTTATCTGTAGCTACCGATTAATTAAAGGGAAAAAGACTATGCACAATGCGAAAACGGAGCGCTCATTAATTGTCACCAGTCGAAAAGGCCTAGCATGTGCTCGAAAAAGTCGTCGCCTATGAGAGTTTTCAAGCGACCAGGTCCAGGATCTGGACTTCGTCACTTTTAAGACTTGTCCTTACCAGGCCGCATATGGCACGCACTCAGGAAAGGTAGAGTTTCGTCCGAAAATTCCTTCTTTCCCATGTTGCGAGTCCGTTACATTTTCTTCCCCGGAATCATTATTTCATAGCATATAAATTGAAAATCTGCATACTTGACGCTTGCTTATTCCATGAAGAAAATGATATCAATCACTGTATACTAATTGAACTGACTTTCAATGCCTCTGTATAAATATATCCCCATAAAACTATGTAAAAACAAATGTTTTGCCGCCGCATGCTCTGCTACTCGCTTCTCCAAGCTAGACAGGGCCAAAGCTATGCGTAATCAACATCGATGAAAGGATCCAATAGGGCACCCACTTTGTGTAAATAATATTCGTGTCGAACAAAGAACTTTTCATAAAAAAAACGTAAACTTTCGTAAAAATACAAACATATTGCGGAGAAACTACTCACGTCAAGTACTTTTTTAAACTTTTATAGCTATTTAGGACCAAAAAACAATTAGTATGTATGAATGTATTTAACACCACGGCACACGTACAGAGCGGAATATTTGTTAAATATTATTATCAATAATTTACTGTAGACAAATATTTATTAGAAGATATAAACAGTTCAATCATGAAATAAAAATTTTTATTCGATAAAATTATATTATTTAATATACTAATTTTATTTTTTGACAGATTAAAATTTGAAGTTAATATATAAAAACAGGCGTAAACTGTAAATATCATAAAAATAATCGAATTTACTTACGTATTTTATGTATTATCATAAAGGAAAGGATGTTATAAAGAAAAGATACATATATTAACATAATTTAGCATTTTCCATTGCATTTTATAAAATGTTTACATGGGGAAATATTTACAAAAATATGAGTAGGATATGATGAAGTGTAGAAGACAGGAAAAAAGGATGAACAATATAGTTTTATGAATGATTCAATTCAAGGTACCCCGACATTGAGGAGCTCCACATAGGCAAGGAATTTTGTCATCTTCCAAAGGAAATTTATAATCGTACGTAATTTCTTCATTAACTCCTATAGGTTGCTTACTATAGATTACAATTTTCTTTTGACTTTCGATTGTAATTACTTTTGCATAACAATTTGGCTGTAAAGGAAAAAAGACGTTAAAATTATTCAGGAATAATAGTACCTTTTTCTATCCTTATAAATAAATAATAACATGGATACTTACATTGCAGCTATGATTAATAAATCGTGCTAAATTTCCACATTTCGTTGCATCAATAATTGTATCTAAATCAATGCGGAAAAGATAAGAACTACCAATGCCGGTAGCTTCGTACTGTGATTCCCTCAAGTCAGCAACGACTGGCCTAACCATTTGACCAACGTATTCAATAACCATTTCATCAGCTGCAATTGGTTCCATAGCAAACAAACCCCAGTCGTGTATTCCAGATTTAGCAAACTTTAATTGCTTTTTCCTGAACTATAAGATTAAACAGGTTTTTAAAAATGCTTAGTAATTGTTATGTTTACTGTATTTAAGTAAATTAATTAGAACCGTACTTTCAACTGATTGAATTTAAGAAGATCGCTGTCGGTGTCAATACCGAAGGCCGTTAATAATCGACGTTGATTGCTTCGAGCTTCACGAGATAGAGCTTGCATTTTTCCAGTTAAAGCTTTAGTATTGTTCTTTGGACCATTCATTGTTCCATCACCTCCAGCATAAGGACCATTATTATCTTCAACATCATGACTGCGTTGTATGCTTTGTGCATAATGGTGCTATACAAATTAAAGAATTTTTAATTAAATTGTTATGTTTCTAATAATATTATAGAACCTAATTATATTATACCTTGTGTTTGGCTTTTTCTCGTATGTCAACTTTATAATATCCTTCTGTCCTCGCACTTCCACTTGCATGCAATCTAAGTTCATCTTTTCTTCTTCGTTTAACAGGACTTGGAATATCTGTTGCTGGATGATCCACCCAATGTGTATCATTCAACCAATATCCTTGACTATCATCAGCTAATAAAGCTTCGTAACTTCGTCTTAAATATTCCACGTCTTCTGCATCTATACCTCTAGTTAAAAATTCATACAAAATAGCCATTTCCGACATAAGATCGCGTTCCGTGTACGTTACCATTGGTTCCTGTACAATTTTCGTAGGATACTTTTCATAAACAAATTCATTTTGAATATTCTCTTTCTCTCCTTCATGGTTTTGATGACTATGTATCTTTGTATATTTATTGAATTTTCGTTTTTCTACCTTATGAGTCTTATCTTTAGTCTTGGCCAATTTAATAATTTTCGAAGCTTTTATTTTTACAGATTTGATTGGCGTTGGAGGTGGACGAGTTACAAATTCTGTAACTTCTGACTGAGACGGCGGTAATGAATAAGAATGTTCCATATATACTTGTGAAACTTGAGAACTACGTAAACTTGGACTTCTTTGGCCATTCAATCGAAGGTCAGTTTCAGCTTGGTACCTATTTAAAGCAGAATAATGTTAATTTCTGCTGTAAGCTTTTTAATATATTAACAGATAAAAAATAATATAGTTTGCGAACCTTAATCTCCTGATTTCTAAACTTTCTTCCTCTGAATCTGTAGTAGGTATCTCACTAAACATTTCAATCTTTTCTGATTCCTTCAATATAGGTTCATCATTAATGTATTTGGCAGACATATTTTGAAGGACTCTAATAATATTTGGTTGTAATGGTCCAGGACTCGTATGTCTTATAATATTATCTTGTCCAGCTAACGTTATTAAAGCTTCAGCTGCAGAATTTTCCATCTTCTGCATATCACGAGGCTCTTGTTTCACCGGTGTTGTTTTTTCAGTAAGTGTAATTTGCGCCATCTTCTCTGTCTCATCCTCTACAACCTTTTCTTCTGTTTCTTTGAACGTTACTTTAGATTTATTAAACTGTTCTTCGTCAACAGATCTTTCGTTTATCTCTTCGATTTCTTCTTTCTTATCTTCATATCTTAAGGGGGATGTTACAGAACTAATTTCATCTTCATCTTCATATTCTGGGAATTCGTTAGAATTTACATCCCTTATTTTCATATCCGGTATTGGCGTTTCTCTGCCAGTTGGAGTTGGACAATCTAAAGATCTTTGAATTGCTAATTCTGTTAAAATATCGGGATCTTCACTATTGCAAGCCAAAGGACGATGGTCTGATACCCGACTGTCTGTATCTTGCTGAAAATAAAAAATAAATTTTATATAGTACTATGTAAAAAGTATTGCATTTGTTATATACTTATAATGTTTTAATTGGTCATTACCCTAGTAGACTTAACATATACCTCATCTTCAAAGTTTCCAGAACATATTTCATCATCGGAACTATCATTTGAGCTGCTGGAAGATTCACTGCAGCTCATTTCATCGCTACAGCTTTCGTTTGATGATGATGAGGATGAAGAAGATGAAGAAACACTTGGTAAGGAAGTAAGTGGCCTTTTAACTTTCTGCACAGATAGTAAGTCAAGATCGCTATCACTTTCTATGATTTCAGTATCACCATGACCTGACTGACGACTGTCTTCATCTTGTGGCAATGGGCTTGGAGCTTTAATTTTACGCTATAATATAGATATTATACTATTATAAACATTACTAACATTATAAATAAATCGTAGAAATATATATCTTACCCTGAAAGAAGGCATCTTTGGCATACTAGCTCTAATTCCCAAACCAAATCCATCGTAATTGAATCCAAGCGGAGTTGCCTGTTCTAAAAGTAATGATATTCCTTGAGGTTTCGAGCCTTCTTCTTTATTACTATTATTAACAATAGTATTATCTCCTCCTTGAGTTTGATTTTTTTCAGATTTCTTTTCATCCCACCATACTTCAAACAATTTGAACGCAGTATTCTCAATCATTTTTTTATTAAAATCCCTTTTTAAAATTTGTTTTAATTCATTTACAACTCTGTTTAATACTCCATTAATAGTAGGACCCTAAATTTTTATTAAGTCATTGTTATATAGAGATGAAATGTATCATATACAACATATAAGTAGTTAAAAAACATATACCTGTGGATTATCTTTTGTAATATTATGATTTGCCATAGCATGAAGCCGCGATTGAAAAGATGGATAATAATTTGCTCCTTGATGATTTCCTACTGCTCCAGAGAATGGTGTAGTATTAGGTTGGCAATGGCTTTGTAAGTATGTTGTCCCATAAGGATATGGATATTGAGTTGGTCGAGGCCAATGGTACATATCATTAGTGGGATAATGGCTTAAATGCCCAGGATAACCTGCTCCTGGATATAACTGACTTGTAGGTTCCGCTTGAGCTATCACCTATATATATATATATGTATATATATATATATATATATATGTATATATATATATATATATTACAATTATAAAATTTATCATATTTAAGTAGATATCAGTTATATTATTTAATTTTATAATCACCTCTTCAATTTTTTCATCTCCCGAACTTAATGGACTTAATGACATCCTATCGTCATCAGGAGGAGGTGGAGGTGGTGGTTCTTTTGGTGGTTCTGGTTCAATTTCATCTGGTGCAGGACTGTAACTTTCAAGTAATGCTTCATCTTCACTTGAACTTATAATGCTACCTAATTCTTCGTCAACCGAAAATTGATTAATGTTGTTCTCATGTATTTTCCACCTTTCTTTATTTTTCTCTCTCATTTTTTCGAAGCACGANCAGTATCACCATGACCTGACTGACGACTGTCTTCATCTTGTGGCAATGGGCTTGGAGCTTTAATTTTACGCTATAATATAGATATTATACTATTATAAACATTACTAACATTATAAATAAATCGTAGAAATATATATCTTACCCTGAAAGAAGGCATCTTTGGCATACTAGCTCTAATTCCCAAACCAAATCCATCGTAATTGAATCCAAGCGGAGTTGCCTGTTCTAAAAGTAATGATATTCCTTGAGGTTTCGAGCCTTCTTCTTTATTACTATTATTAACAATAGTATTATCTCCTCCTTGAGTTTGATTTTTTTCAGATTTCTTTTCATCCCACCATACTTCAAACAATTTGAACGCAGTATTCTCAATCATTTTTTTATTAAAATCCCTTTTTAAAATTTGTTTTAATTCATTTACAACTCTGTTTAATACTCCATTAATAGTAGGACCCTAAATTTTTATTAAGTCATTGTTATATAGAGATGAAATGTATCATATACAACATATAAGTAGTTAAAAAACATATACCTGTGGATTATCTTTTGTAATATTATGATTTGCCATAGCATGAAGCCGCGATTGAAAAGATGGATAATAATTTGCTCCTTGATGATTTCCTACTGCTCCAGAGAATGGTGTAGTATTAGGTTGGCAATGGCTTTGTAAGTATGTTGTCCCATAAGGATATGGATATTGAGTTGGTCGAGGCCAATGGTACATATCATTAGTGGGATAATGGCTTAAATGCCCAGGATAACCTGCTCCTGGATATAACTGACTTGTAGGTTCCGCTTGAGCTATCACCTATATATATATATATGTATATATATATATATATATATATGTATATATATATATATATATTACAATTATAAAATTTATCATATTTAAGTAGATATCAGTTATATTATTTAATTTTATAATCACCTCTTCAATTTTTTCATCTCCCGAACTTAATGGACTTAATGACATCCTATCGTCATCAGGAGGAGGTGGAGGTGGTGGTTCTTTTGGTGGTTCTGGTTCAATTTCATCTGGTGCAGGACTGTAACTTTCAAGTAATGCTTCATCTTCACTTGAACTTATAATGCTACCTAATTCTTCGTCAACCGAAAATTGATTAATGTTGTTCTCATGTATTTTCCACCTTTCTTTATTTTTCTCTCTCATTTTTTCGAAGCACGATTTATATGTTTCATGAGATAAGAAAGGACTTGGAGGTTCTGAAAGCATTTCATTGTCTGCACTGATAGACCTTTTTTCATCTTCAGAATCGCTACCAAACTGTAGAAAGGGTGGTGCCATTCCGCCTGCTTTATCCTTTAACAACATGGCAATTCTTGTATCTAAATCTAATGTTTTACGAGTTTCTACTGGTGAGTCTCTTGAAGAGCTTTTTGTACCACTCTGATTTTCTTTCTCCTTTTCCTTTTTAGGAGTATGATGCATTTTTACATTAGAAGCCTTTGTAATTGGAATTACATTAGAATTAGAATTATCTAAATTTGCTCCATGTTGTACAGGCCACATAGATGATGACGCATAATTAGCTGGTCCTGTATTATTTCCCCACCACATACTTGAATTTTGTTGAATTGGAAGATTTTGAGATACATTTTGAGACATATTCGCTAGGTAATTATTTGGAGGTTGATGATGATAACCACCATAATAAAAATCATAGTTTGTGGCTGGAGTAGAATTTTGAGAATAATTATTGGAATAATTTAATTCACTAGGTGCAGTACCATAGCCTAAATCGCTTCCAGTACTGCCACTAGGAGTAGGGTAATCTCTATATTTGCTGTATCTTGAGTTTTCTATGTATGTATCTCTGGATTTGTCTATATTTGACACTATTTTTTTACTACTCCGGAAATCATCTCTGTCTTCAACAATTTTATCAATAGGTGTATGTTTTCCTTGATCATTTTCAGATTTTAATTCCTTTTCTACTTTCTTTTCTGGCTTTTTCTCTATAGTCAGTTCATCATAGATCTTTTTACACTCTTCTCCAAACGCATCCAAAAACACTCTTAAGACTTTGCCCATCACAGATGTATTATTTAATTTTTCTACACATGCTTTTGAAGCCTTTGTAGTTTCAAATACCACTCTAGCGATTCCAAGATGCTTGTTAGTTATAGGATGGTAATAAACAGTAAGTTCTTCTACAACTCCAAACTTTTGAACCATGTCTGTTAAAAAGGTTTTATCAATATTGTCATTTAAATGGCAAAATGTTACTTCAAGTGGAGGTGGTTCACCACAATAATTAGAGTCAATTTTAAATCTAGGTACAGGCAAGTCAAGTTGTTCTAAACGAGTCCATATTCTTGTTAACTGTGACCTAGGATCTCGTGGTTGAACTTCAGGATAAGTTGGATCTCCTGGTACCATGCCATCATATCTATATAATTTTGTTGCACCTTTGACTAAGAATGGATCAACTAGTAATTTATAATTTCTTGGCTTCTGAGGTGTCTGTACAACCGATGCATCTTTCTGTGAATGTGTTACATGAGTATGGCTATGTTTTGACGATTGATTTGAGTTTTGTGATGCACTTTGTGAATTTCCATGTGAATGGCGATGACGATGCGAGTGCGCATGTGAATGTCCATGTCCATGCCCATGTCTCTCCATTCCGTTCATTGCCTCCAAGCATCATCCATTTATGTAAATTACTGCAACATTAACAAACAAGTGTCAGTATTATAATTGTTTACATAATTGATGAAACACATAAAAATGATTGAACTATTTGAATATATTTAAGATTAAAAATACCAAAATAATATTTAAGTGTTGTAGAATAATTTTCAATATATACAAGATGATATTATCAAATTTGTATTGTTATAAATCAGCTGTCACAATTAGTTTAAAATCCTGCAGTGCAGTACAAATAAGTAAAATTAAAATGGCACAAATCAATTTAGGACTAATTTTATAAATGAACAACTTTACAACAAAAAATTAAATGATCCTACACAAATATACTTTCAAAAAGAAAATATACAAAATGCATACTAATACAAAAAAAATTTTCTATAAAAAAGAACTATAGCACATAATTAACAATCTATTTCCATTTTGAACTTACATCCAGTTTGTTTGTGTTGTCTTGATAAGTTGTTTCGCTTGTTAATACAAGAAATTTATGTTTTAATAAAACATAACCTTAAACATTTTGCAGCTTTTAAGTTGGAGTTTCAAATAAAGAAGCGAGGTGATAACCATTTCAAAAAGAATTCCTTATAAGGCGGCCTTTATACTCATTTTCTTGTACGATCTCCAATAAAGTTAAAATTTTTCTTATGCAAAACACAGCCTTTGAATTTCATGCAATGTACGTTCCGGTTTTTTCGCAACCTTGTAATTTCTCAACCTGTTTTTACAATATTATATTTACTATGTGGACATTGTCCAAATATTGGCTCCACAATTTAATTCCTTTTTATTCTTCGTTGACCATTTCTCGTGAAAAATATAGACGTTTATTGCTACTAGCTCTCAGTCACACCAGCGCAAAACTACCTCAATGTTTGACTGCTAACACAACGCACTGCGCCCTGATTTTCCTAATTTTTATCGAGTATTAATCAGTGGTAAAAACAACAGTATACCAATGAACTATTTCAGTAAAGTTTATCTCACTTTAACTTGGTATATAAAATGTGTTTGATTAACTTTAACAAATCCATAGCTTCGATAAAACTATGCAAACACATTCGGATGACGCCATCCTTGTTATAAAGACCATGACGGTTCTTTGGACCATTTTACTAAATAAATTGTACAAACATTTTGTTAGACAACATATACTTTTTTATCTGTCAGAATATATTCATATTATTGTAAAATAGTGATCTGTTAAAATGCACCAAATGAAAGTTTAAATCGATGATTGAGCCAAGTATTTAACATTTTTTACGTCTCTTAATTCGTCTTGTCTCACAAATTTTACTACTGTCCAGAAAATTGTAGAAAATTTCAGTTATTGCTGGCATTTTGTATATTTACCAATTATCTGCAAAAGGTAATTAAAGTTTAACGACAGTATTACAAAATAATTGCTGAAAATCTTCTTCCCATACAATGAATGGCATTTGATCCATGCATTGGCTAACTACGATCTAACAGAAATTTCAATCAACTGCATTAGCAAATCACCTCCTTGCCTTTAAAGAAAAGTGCGCGATATCGCGTGCACACGTACAGTATCAATCAAAACTGTTAATTTGTACTATATGTACAGAACATAGTGTATGATGTGTACAACATTAAAATAAATACATATATAGAATTTAAATTAAATTCAATGATTATATTGAAACTGATTTCCCACATGTATTTGCATTGTTAAATAATTAAATATATTTTAAGAATTAAAAGCGAAACAAATATTATTATATATATGTACATACATATCTATTTAGAACAAATCACTTAGAGAAAAATATATTAATACATTTGCTCTGTTTAAGTTATGTATTTAAATATTCAACGATATATATATATATATAAGAGAATTATGACTTTCACTATATACAAACTTTACATTTAAAAAGTTATGATATTAACATGCATGTAATGTAACTTGTTTTTATAGAAATTGGACCTAAGGTACCTAAAGCTAGAAATGCTGTTCATATTGCCATTGAAGGTACGTTTGTAAGACAAGCAACTCCACACTCTAACGAAAAATTTCAGTCTCTTTAATTTCTGAAGTAATACCACGGAATCTCGGTACACGTTCTCAATTAATTTAGGATACCTTCATAAAATAAAACTCTACCTTTAAAAATATGTCTTTCCTACAAAGATTGTTAAATCGGTACATTCCAACAGTAAAAGCAGAAGATGGCGAAGATGAGTTGATAGATCCTCAAAAAATACTTAGAGTAAGTTATAGTATAATAAGTAAGTTATATAATATTTTTATTCTAATAATTCAAAATCTATTTTTCCAGTATGTCATAAATGTCATAAAGATATATACCAAATCTACTATTATTACAGTCATTTCCTCACATATATGTCCAATTCACTAATTTATAAGACTTATACATAAACCATATTATAAGAATTATACATAAGCCATAAAACAAGTCTATTTTGTAGGAAAGATGTGCGCTTAAAGACTATTGCAAGCAGTTGCATGAAAAACTTAATACATGTAACGACCGGGTCAATTCAAGAACTAAAACAGAAGAAACATGCCTCGAAGAGTTAATTGATTATGTAGAATGTGTAGATCACTGCGTAGCAGAAAAACTCTTTTCAAAGCTTAAGTGAAGTTATATTGCAACTACATCGTGTGACTGGTTAAAAAATGTTATTGATTACGCTGATGCATTGTAGATTTAAAAATATTGCTAGAAATAAATAATGATTATTTATCAATGAGTATTAACACTTAATGATGTTTCTTTCATCTGTATTTAAAATTTTATAACTATAAATTTAACAAACGTTCAACAAGAATAATTATATAATACATATATAAATGAAGTATATATAATATATAATGTGGCTGACATAGACTCATACAATACAGACTTCCTATACTTTCTATGAGAGTGCTTATGGAATGACGTTTATTTTATTTACATATGAATGCTTTTATTATTTAAGTCTTTTCTCATTCAGCACCTACTTGTAATACATCAAAACATACTGCACAAACACGCACTGGTTTATTCAATCCAAATTTTACAATTGGAACATCTTGATCAGAACATTTATTGCACAAAATTCGACCACAGTGGCGGCTAAAAAAAAATGAAAAAATTAATCTCACATATTCATTATATGTGTAATCACAAATTTATGTATGATTATCTCATGGATTATATACCAGTGATGCTTTCGCATTGTGATAGAAAATTTTGTACCACATTCCAAGCATAGATCTTTATCTGCCCATGGTACCTCTTTTGTTAAGGAATCCAACAGTCTATATAATAATTGTTTAGTTGCAACCTGATAGTTAAAAATTGTAATTCCTTCCTTATTCATAGAACCCAAACATGCACCAGCTTTTACCAATGTACGACAAAGCTGGCCATTGCCTTTCATATAGGCAATCAATAATGGAGTATTGCCTTCTAAATCTTAAATAAAGCATCAAGTATAAATTAGTATGTATATATAAATAATATGTATATATAAATAATGTGAGCACTTTTACATATATTTACCTGTTTTATTTATTGGATATGCTGACATACATTCCAAAAAAAATTCGCATATAGTTGCAGCATTATCCTTCCCACATCGAGCTAATTCATGCAAGGGATTTCTTCCCTTAAGATTTACTGCTTCCGCATCTAATGTACATTCAGTCAAAAGTGTTCTTACTACTGATATATGTCCTTCTCTTACAGCTACATGCAGAGCGTTATCACCATCTGCATTTACTGCATCAAAATTAATATTATTCTGCAAAGAAAAAAATAGTTTTTATTATATACGAATGTATATTTATAAATATGTATTATGTGTCCAAAAAATTGTTATCTATTTTTGTAACACAGCTAATACATTAAACAACTCTTTGTTTACACAATCCTTCAATATCATAACAAAGTTTTATTTTATTACAAATTATTCTAAACAAGCTACTAAACTCTTGGACTTTTTTGAGTAAACCTTTATCAAACTGTATTTAGCAGACAAATAAATGGTATCTTTGTGAATTCTCATGTTAAATGTAATACCTGCAGTAAAGCAGACACAACTGCAGCATGACCTGCTTTCGCTGTAGCATGTAATGCAGTGTTCCTATTTGCATCAGTGTCATTAACACGCGCACCAGCTAAAATTAAACTCCGTACTAACATTTCATTTCCAGAGATTGCAGCAAGATGTAAAGGTGGAGTTTGAGTGACATCATGAACTCTAGAATTCACGTCTACCTATAAAACGACAATCATTGGGTTATACAAAAAGCTTTTCTCTCTCTCTCTCTCTCTCTCTCTCTCTCTCTCTCAAGATATATATATGTTTAAAAATTATGTTTACCTGTATAGATAGTAAGAAAAGTATGCTTTCCATATCATTCTTCTGAATAGCAGTATGTAAAAAATTTCTGCCTTTATTGTCGTATTGTTCAGCGGCTTTAGGTAATCGTTCTAATATTGCTTGGGCTGCCTTATTATTTCTGAATGTTAAAGCTGTTGCAAATGGCGTTAAACCTTTCTTATCTCTCTTATTCAAATCTATATTAGGATGGCAAAGCATCAAAGAAATAATTTGCGAATGTTGATTTTGTATAGCAACATGAACTGGGGTTTTTCCTTCTGCATCTCGGGCATTCACATCTGCGCCATGTTCAATAAGAGTCTGAACAACTTGTTCTAAACCCCATTGACAGCACAAATGTAACGGACTACATTCATCTCGTGCTTCATCACCACCTGAACCATCTGAGCCAGGTCTCCTTGGTGCATTTAAGTCACAGCCACTAAAAAGATATTATTTTATAAATGTATTCTAATTCTTAATACTATATAGTGTGTACTACCTTCTTATAAGGAATTGTGCAATATCTTCTTTATTTTCGTCGATTGCTTTATGTAATAGTGTTTGTTGACAACTGTCTGGTCCAGTACTCCAGCAATCAGTATCAGCTCCATATTTAACTAAGATAGATGCTATATCCTCTTGATCTGAATCTAACGCATCCCATAGGGGACACCCTACAGAAGTATCTACACCTCTTTTACAAAGTGCTTCTACAACTTCACCTAGTCTACAATGTACAGACAGTTGCAATGGCGTGTCTCCATTTGCAGTTCTAAGGAAATTATGATTTAATTATTTATTGAGCTATGTAATATGGATATTTAACTAGAATTTTATTTTGATAACTTTGCTTTTGGAAAATTCAAATTACATCTACACCTTTTTCATTACTGTTCAACTAGCAGTCATTAAATTGAGTCAATACATTCACGAAAGTTACCAAATAATTATTATTCTATGAAATTTACCTAGCATTCATGTCTGCTCCATTTTCTAGTAAAAAGATAGCTGTTGCTGAATCCTCCTTTAATATTGCTTGATGCAACAGTGTCAAACCTTCTTCATTGCATTGGTTGATATTTGCTCCTGCTTTTATTAAAGCCAAAACAATATCTTTACCTTTCTTAAATGGAACTTTTATAGCCAAGCTTAAAGGCGTTTCATTTGCATTATTCGTTAGATTTAATTGAGCACTTGAATTGGGAGTGTTCAATAATTCTACTATAATATCAAAATATAAATTCGAAACAGCAAAATGTAACGGCGCATCTCCAGTATATAATGTTACTTCATCTAATGGAAAACCATTCTTTAATAAAGTCCTAGTTAAATTCTTTAAGCCGATTTTGCAAGCTTCGTGTAAGACAGAATATCCCTCATTATTTTTTTTCATTAAATTATCTTTGCAATAATCAAGTAAAAACAATGCTGCTTCTTCTTTACTTTCTTTAGTTAAAACGTGTAACAAGGTATCTTCAGTATCTCTGTACACAGGATTGGGAGTTGCACCCTTAGCTAGGAGCTTCTTAGCAAAGGATTCACAGAACGGTTCTGCTTTCATTGCTAGACACAATGGAGTATCGTTGTCATTGGTAGTTTTATCTAAATTTATACTTTCACATTCTAATAAAATATCAAAAAGTGGTTTGTTCTTATCCCAAACACAGCTATGTAAGGCAGTCCTGTAAACATAAAATATAGTTATTATAAAATATATATTATAATCAAATTTGTACAAAATTCAAAAGATTATACCATCCTTTCTGGTTCTGTAAATTGGGATCAATGCCAGCTTGAAGTAATTTAGATCCTACAGCTGTCATATCTTCCGAGTTATGTTTTGTTACTAAATGCAAAGCAGTACATCCTTCAAGATCCTCAGGATTGTTTATATCCCTTGTGCTTCTTGTAATCTTGACAGGTTCACGTAACTGTTGCGCATTACCATTACTTTCTAACTGTTCTATTATAAATTCTGCGGAATAGGAATCTCCTTTAAAAATAGCAGCTTGCAGTAAAGAAAATCCTCTTGAATCTTTTGCACTTAAGTCAGCCCCATGTCCAACTAAAGTACGAGCTAAAGATGGCTGACGTGTTTTTAATGCAACTTCTAGTGGTGTTTCCCCCTTATTATCAAGAGCGTTTACAGCTTTCAATAACTAAAAAAGAATAATAATAAATTATTATTGATGATATTAAATTATTTTGCTAATCTCAACTATTATAAAATTATAAAAAGTAAATTGAGATTACTATTTTATATGTGCAAAATATGTACTTCCATCCATAAGTGTAGAGCACTCTTTGTACATTAAATGAAATTAATTCTTTTGTGTATGTATGGATGTTTAGTAGAAATATTATAATTATATATTAAAGTGATAATTAGATTGCAAGAAGAGAAAATTATTACCTCTGCTATTTGATTCTACAATTCATATTTTATGGTCAACTCAATTAGTTGAGTTTCCATAATACAGTAGCAGCTATTGGCAATATTTTCATTTTGTTGTAAAAGTTCTCAAAGAAAGGCAGAAAGAAAACAAAATATTGGAGATTTAAAAATTCCTGATTGCGAATAATAGACTTTTAAAAACTATAAAATATCCATAAGTAAGAAATTTATCAAGTATGTATTTCATTTAAATCTCTAACATGTTCGAAACTTTTGAACAGGAGTGTAGATATGTTTGTATGTGTCCGGTTATAATAGGTGTGACCACCCCACCCTACAGCTCAAATGGTGGGGAGGAGTGGATAGTGGATGACTATATAACCAATGCATACGCCCATGCATATGTATATGCATTTGTGTAGCAATACCTGTATATTTTTAGTGTTAAGGAAACACATACAATGGTGTAAAAAAAGTAAGCGGAAAGGAATATGATTATATTCTGATATATCAGAAAGTGTGGTCCATAAATGATAGAGAGAACATGACGTGGCGTATAATACAATCATCCGTCTGCAGCCACTTTTCTATGGAAAGGACACGATTTGTTAGAAAACAACAACAGATTCATCGAAAACTCAATATTGCGATGTGACGTTCGGTGAATATTAAGTGCAATTAGGAATGAGTTTCAGTGTTGACTTAAATATGTTTTCTTCATTTATTAGATATAAATAGTGGATGAATAACTAAAGACGATGTTTTAAATGACTTTTAGGAATCAAATTGTAAACTCAAAATTTGTTATTTATATTTGTAAATTCGTAAGTTATTTTACCATAATTAATATTGTTTTCCTTAACTCTTATTTCATTCACAAAATTCATATTCTTCTATTCGTCCTTATATAGCTTGTTTGTAATTTAAATTCTTTCAGGTTTTCTTACTGGTGGTACATTGGACTTTGAAGCAATAAATGAAAAAATGATATAAATGTGCAACAACGAAAAAGTTATTAATAGTAGATACAAGTAAAGCTTAATAATCATTTCTTTATAGAACTTTTGAACTCATTGCAAATATCATGACTTTTAAAATAAATTCAATAAAAATTGTATTAATTCCTACAATTCTTTTATGTATGTATAAAATATTTAAATTTTATTAATTTTATGTTTATCATATTATCTACACCAAATATATTTATAGATTTGTTAACTGCTTTCTGCAAATTATTTTTATATTTGAAACTTTTAGATGTAATAACACCGATAAGCGCAGATGGAATATCATGCTTTAAATGCTATGCATCACATCCGGGAACTGAGGAAACTGACTTATTATGCTCACACTTCGATGGAAGTGCTCGATTTCAAGTATACTGTCCTTCGTCAACTCTTTGCAGAAAGAAAACCATTTACAACAGACTTAAAAGTAAGTTAATTTTAGTTTAAATTATCATTGTATTATATGTTATCATTGAATTATTTTTAATATATGTTATATAGCATCTGTAAGAACGGCTGTGGAAAGGGATTGTGCACCTCAAAAACGTACAGTTCCTATTTATAACGATATAGACAAGACATGGCAAAACAAAGAGGAAATTGTGAAAACAGCATACGAAGAAGATTGTTTCCTTGGAGAAGACAGAGGAGCACCAGGAGGTCCATCAGAATATTGTTTTTGTAGTTATCATTTATGCAATTCGTCTCAATCAATTAAAGCCACGAATATGTATCATATCTTTGCATTAGTAATGATAATACTATTTGCAAAGCTGATATAATATTTTAATTTTATATATTTACTGCTATAAAAATATTAATATTTTTCTAATGAACCGTCTGCAAAATATGTTATAATTTAAATTTAAAAAAAAATCATGTGATATAAATATATGTAAAATAAAATATCTAAATAATATTCTTATGAAATAGAATATTCAATTTATGAGTTAAATGATATTAATGAATATTTTTAATATTAATGCCTGAAAGAGAACAGTGGAATGTACTT